ATAATAAACACAATTGTTTTTTCATAATATAACGATATTAATAATTATAATTATAATGATTATAATAATTATAATTATAATAATTACAGAATTGTATTTACATAATATAATAACAACTAGTATCCTCATCCAGCACCAGTGGATAATAAATACACTATTTAGTAAATATTCAATTTAATGAAACATTAATAAAAACAGTCTAAAAAGCAGTGTTGTATTGCAGCGGAGGGTCAGGTGTGTGTGTTGCACCCGTCCTCCAGCACTGCATTGAGTAACAGAGGCTCAGTTTCCACACACACACACTCTTTCCTCACCCTGTGGCCAGATTTCAGGTCTGGGACCACAGATTACTCAAACACAAGCACACGGAGCAGAGCTTACAACACAAACATCAACAGTAGTGTGCATTAATGAAGGCCTGTGTTATCAGACTCCCTCATCTGTGTAGCGCCAATATAGATAAAGCATGAGCATCAGCGCTGGCAGGGGAAACACAGCAATGCTATCATGCTGAAACACCTCATTACAGCCGTTTGCTGGAGGAAAGAGCACCGCGCCGTTGTGTTGAGCAATTACAATCAATGCATGAGCAGAAAACGACAGATTAAACGCAGAAATCAGACACACTGAAGAGATGAGGGTGAAAACTGCAGATCAAACTGAGAAATCTGATGGAGAAACATGCGGAAAACACATACTGACAGGGTCAAGGAGAAATAGTTTGGGTCAAAAGAGCAAATATAAAAAAACAAAACAAAAAAAAAACAAGGAAAAACAAAGAAACAAGGGGCATAAGGGACAAAAAGTTGTCAAAAACTAAAATTCATAAATAATTAAATATTAATACATCTTAAGAATACAATTTTAATGACGTATAATAAAAATTACAGTACAAAATGAATAATTATTAACATTTAATACATGCATAATTATATGACTAACTAATTGAAGAAGCAATATTTGATTTATAAATAACATATTAAAGTATGTATAGTAATTACACAATTATATTTATATAATATAAAATAATGATGACAATTATGATGATAATAATAATATTTATAATAATTACACAATTGTATTTATATAATAACGATGACAATTATGAAATATATGCAATATTAGCAATAAATATTACAAAAAACAAAAATTAAACAATTATATTTATATAATAATGACACAACTAGGATAATAATAATAATAATAATAATATTAATAATAATAAATAAAATAATAATAACAACAGTAATAATAATAATAATCTTTATAATTACACAATTGTATTTACATAATATATTAATGTTAACTATTATGATGATGATAATAATAATAATAATAATAAAATTACACAATTGTATTTACATAATATAATAAAGTTGACAATTATGATAATAAGAACAACAACAACAATAATAATAATAAAATTCTGACAGGGTCAAGAATAAATGGTGGCTGTTTTGGAATAATAAAAGAATTTAAATTTGACTAATATACATGTATAACTTTTAATACATGCATAATTACATAAATAGCTAATTGAAAAAGTAATATTTGATTAATAAATAGCATAATAAATAGAAATAAAAATAGTATGTGATTATATTTATTATTATTAACATAAAATATAATAATTACACAATTGTATTTATAGAATATATGATAATAATAATAATAATAATAATAATAATAATAAAATTTATAATAATCACAGAATTGTATTTATAATAATGATGGCAGTTACGATGATAATAATAATAATAATAATAATAATAATAATAATAATTATTATTATTATTATTATTATACTAACAGAGTCATAAAAATGGTGGCTGTTTTGGAAAAATAATAATGTAAAATAACTAAAAAGTTTACAAGCAAACAAAGCATTTGGAAAAAAAATTTAAATATATATATTTTTTTACAATTTACAATATTAACAAATTTCAAAATAAAATTTAAATGACATATAATTATTGATTTTGAAATAAAATTGTAATAGAAGATGAATAAATGAACAATACGATGTTTAAAAACACTTTTACACTAAAATCTGATGGAGAAAGTGTGGAAAACTGGAAATGTTGGATGCTTTGGGTCAAAAGGTCAAAGATTTTACAAAGAAAGAGTTCAAACTGCTTTAGTGGTGTTGCACTGTAGCCTCATGGCTGGGTCAGTTGGCGTTTCTGTGTGGAGTTTGCATGTTCTCCCCCAGTCCAAACACATGCTATATGTGAATCGATGAACTAAATTGGCTGTGACCTTCGTCAGGGCACAGTGCTAACCACTGAGCCACTGCATCACCCCAAAAGGTCAAATATAAAAGAAAATAAATTTAAAAAGTTGAGCTTTCAAACTGGGGCAAATAAAGGACAAAAAAGGTTTTTGGATTTTTGTTTTTGTATAAAACTAATTATTATAGATGAATAAATCATGAAAACAGTTTAAAATGGTTTTACACTGAAATCTGGAGGAGAGAGGCTGAACAACTGCACATTCTGACAGGGTGAAGGAGAAATGCTGACGGTTTTGGGTCAAAAGGTCAAATATGAGCAGAGCAAAAATAAAAACACATAAAAAAAAAAAGTGTTAAATCAATAAATTAATTAACAAAATTATTAAATTAGGTTAAAATAAAATATATGCAATTTAAAAAAAAAAAAAAAAAATATATATATATATATATATATATATATATATATAAACATCATCTGTGATTGTTACAGAAAAATTAAAAAATTAAAAACATATTACAAAAAACAGATGAACACATTATATTATGATACATTTCCTAGAAATGCGTTAAATTAATAAATTAATTTTAAAAGTTATCACATTTTGTTAAAATAAATAAAAACACCAAACGCCTCATCTGCAATCAATAAAAATAAAAACATTCATTCATTTTCTTGTCGGCTTAGTGCCTTTATTAATCCGGGGTCGCCACAGCGGAATGAACCACCAACTTATCCAGCAAGTTTTTACGCAGCGGATGCCCTTCCAGCTGCAACCCATCTCTGGGAAAAAAAATAAAACATGACAAAAAATATTATTTTATTTACATTTACAAGTTTTTATTGAACATTATGAACATTCAGAGCCAATCAGAGACTTTAGATTAGTAATAAGATTATAATAACCAAAATCCTGTAACAGAGTCCCGATATTAAATCTTTATTGCTTTTCAACCATTTACAGCGTGTTAAAAATGCTATTTTATTTCTAAAATATTTAATTTTTACATACTAAATCCAGCCTCTGCTGCTTATAAAAATCTAAACTATTTATTAAAACTGAAACAAACAAAAACTTAACATCTTAAAGTGACTAATAATATTGACCTTTAAAATATATATATATATATATATATATATATTTTTTTTTTTTTTTTTTTTTTTTTATGTAAAACCTGATTTTATACCAGCCAAATAAAAAAAATATTAGAAAAAAAAATATAAGTAATACTGTAATTATTTTCTCGCTCTGTTAAACATCATTTGGGAAATATTTGAAATCTAAATTTGACAGGACGGCTCATCAGTTATTGTGGTTAACAGTACTGTGCAGCACTAATGAGGATCTGAAGATACAAAAAGCAGCAGATCATCAGCAGATCAAACTCTACATTCCACATGTCACACACTCACTTTCAACCTAAATAATACTACAAAATGTTGATCTGAACATAAACCTGTGTCGTCTCAGGTGTGTTCCTCAGGTGTGTGTTCTCAGCAGAGTTCATCCGGTGTGTGTTCTCAGCTGTGATCTTCAGGTGAGTGATCTCAGGTGTATTCTTCAGGTGTGTGTTCCTCAGGTTTGATCTTTAGCAGTGTTCCTTAGGTGTGTGTTTCTCAGGTGTGATCTTCAGGTGTATTTTTCAGATGTGTATTCTCAGCAGTGTTACTCAGGTGTGTGTTCTTCAGGTGTGTGTTTCTCAGGTGTGATCTTCAGCTGTGTTTTTTAGGTGTGTGTTACTTAATTGTGATCTTCAGCAGTGTTCCTCGGGTGTGTTCTTAAGGTGTGTGCTCTCAGCAGTGTTCCTCAGGGGTGTGTTCTTCAGGTGTGTGTTCCTCGGGTGTGTTCTTAAGGTGTGATCTTCAGGTGTGTGTTCTCAGCAGTGTTCCTCAGGGGTGTGTTCTTCAGGTGTGTGTTCCTCAGGTGTGATCTTAAGGTGTGATCTTCAGGTGTGTGTTCTCAGCAGTGTTCCTCAGGGGTGTGTTCTTCAGGTGTGTGTTCTCAGCAGTGTTCCTCAGGGGTGTGTTCTTCAGGTGTGTGTTCCTCAGGTGTGATCTTAAGGTGTGATCTTCAGGTGTGTGTTCTCAGCAGTGTTCCTCAGGGGTGTGTTCTTCAGGTGTGTGTTCCTCAGGTGTGATCTTCAGGTGTGATCTTCAGGTGTGTGTTCCTCAGGTGTGATCTTCAGGTGTGTGTTCCTCAGGTGTGATCTTCAGGTGTGTGTTCCTCAGGTGTGATCTTCAGGAGTGTGTTCCTCAGGTGTGTTCTTCAGGTGTGTGTTCCTCAGGTGTGATCTTCAGGTGTGTGTTCCTCAGGTGTGTTCTTCAGGTGTGTGTTCCTCAGGTGTGATCTTCAGGTGTGTGTTCACACCAGTGTTCTTCAGGTGTGTGTTCCTCAGGTGTGATCTTCAGGAGTGTGTTCCTCAGGTGTGTTCTTCAGGTGTGTGTTCCTCAGGTGTGATCTTCAGGTGTGTGTTCGCAGCAGTGTTCCTCAGGAGTGTGTTCTTCAGGTGTGTGTTCCTCAGGTGTGCGTTCCTCAGGTGTGTGTTCCTCAGGAGTGTGTTCCTCAGATGTGTTCTTCAGGAGTGTGTTCTTCAGGAGTGTGTTCCTCAGGTGTGTTCTTCAGGTGTGTGTTCCTCAGGTGTGATCTTCAGGTGTGTGTTCGCAGCAGTGTTCCTCAGGTGTGTGTTCCTCAGGTGTGTTCTTCAGGTGTTTGTTCCTCAGTTGTGTTCTTCAGGTGTGTGTTCCTCAGGTGTGTTCTCCAGGTGTGTGTTCGCAGCAGTGTTCCTCAGGTGTGTTTCTCAGGTGTTTTCTTCAGGTGTGTGTTCCTCAGGTTTGTGTTCTCCAGGTGTGTTTCTCAGGTGTTTTCTTCAGGTGTGTGTTCCTCAGGTTTGTGTTCTCCAGGTGTATTCTCATCAGTGCTCCTCAGATGTGTCCTGCAGGTGACGCTGGGACAGGTAATGCCTGAGCGCCTCCACCTCGTGCAGCAGGCGCTGGATGTGCACCTGCAGCCGTTGATTCTCGTCCTGCAGCTGCAGCGCCCTCTGCTGGGTCATCTGGATGCGGCGCCGCGCTTTATCTCGACTCTTCCTGACGGCGATGTTGTTTCTCTCTCTCCTCTGCCGGTACTCAGCACTGTCTTTACTCACACCTCGCTTCTGTGCGCACAGGCGGAGCGCAGACGCTGGCGGTGGCTCCAGAAACTGAGCAAAATCCTTAACAGAGAGTCACAAAAGAGAAACACGAACTGAAGTTAATACAAGCTATTGCAGTTTTCATTAAGGTTGAACAATAGTGTATATCATTTAAGCATGGATATTATAATGTGTGTATCGCAGGACTAACTAACTAACTAACTAACTAATTAACTGACTAACTAGAAAAACGGGTAATGTGAGTATGACATATAAAGACCTGTAGTATTAGTATTAGTAATAAGAATAAGACTAACTAACTAACTAACTAACTAACTAACTAACTAACTAACTAACTAACTAACTAATAATTCTACTACTGCCACTACTAACTAGCTAACTAACTAACTAACTAACTAACTAACTAACTAACTAACTGACTAACTAGAAAAACGGGTAATGTGAGTATGACATATAAAGACCTGTAGTATTAGTATTAGTAATAAGAATAAGACTAACTAACTAACTAACTAACTAACTAATAATTCTACTACTGCCACTACTAACTAGCTAACTAACTAACTAACTAACCAACCAACCACACGACTAACTAACTAACTGATAATTCTACTACTGCCACTACTAGTACAACTAACTAACTAACTAACAAACAAACTAACTAACTAACAAACTAACTAACTAACTAACTACAAAACGGGTAAAGTATAACAAAGACTTGTAGTATTAGTAGTAGTAATAATAATAATAGTAGTAATAATAATAAGAAGAAGAAAATGAAAAAAAGAACTAACTAACAAATTAACTAACTGATAATTCTACTACTGCCACTACAAACTAACTAACTAACTAACTAACTAACTAACTAACAACAAAACGGGTAATGAGTGTATGACATATAAAGACCTGTAGTATTAGTAGTAGTAAGAATAAGAAGAAGCAGAATTAACTAACTAACTAACTATCTGATAATTCTACTACTGACACTACTAACTAACTAACTAACTAACAATTATACTACTGCCACTACAAGTTCTACTAACTAACTAACTAACTAACTAACTAACAATTATACTACTGCCACTACAAGTTCTACTAACTAACTAACTAACAATTATACTACTGCCACTACAAGTTCTACTAACTAACTAACTAACTAACTAACAATTATACTACTGTCACTACAAGTTCTACTAACTAACTAACTAACAATTATACTACTGCCACTACAAGTTCTACTAACTAAATAAATAATTAACAATTATACTACTGCCACTACAAGTTCTACTAACTAACTAACTAACAATTATACTACTGCCACTACAAGTTCTACTAACTAACTAACTAACTAACAATTATACTACTGCCACTACAAGTTCTACTAACTAACTAACTAACAATTATACTACTGCCACTACAAGTTCTACTAACTAACTAACTAACTAACAATTATACTACTGCCACTACAAGTTCTACTAACTAACTAACTAACAATTATACTACTGTCACTACAAGTTCTACTAACTAACTAACTAACAATTATACTACTGCCACTACAAGTTCTACTAACTAACTAACTAACTAACAATTATACTACTGCCACTACAAGTTCTACTAACTAACTAACTAACTAACAATTATACTACTGCCACTACAAGTTCTACTAACTAACTAACTAACAATTATACTACTGCCACTACAAGTTCTACTAACTAACTAACTAACAATTATACTACTGCCACTACAAGTTCTACTAACTAACTAACTAACTAACAATTATACTACTGCCACTACAAGTTCTACTAACTAACTAACTAACTAACAATTATACTACTGCCACTACAAGTTCTACTAACTAACTAACTAACTAACTAACAATTATACTACTGCCACTACAAGTTCTACTAACTAACTAACTAACAATTATACTACTGCCACTACAAGTTCTACTAACTAACTAACTAACTAACTAACTAACAATTATACTACTGCCACTACAAGTTCTACTAACTAACTAACTAACAATTATACTACTGCCACTACAAGTTCTACTAACTAACTAACTAACTAACTAACTAACAATTATACTACTGCCACTACAAGTTCTACTAACTAACTAACTAACAATTATACTACTGCCACTACAAGTTCTACTAACTAACTAACTAACTAACTAACTAACAATTATACTACTGCCACTACAAGTTCTACTAACTAACTAACTAACAATTATACTACTGCCACTACAAGTTCTACTAACTAACTAACTAACTAACTAACTAACTAACTAACTAACTAACAAACAATTATACTACTGCCACTACAAGTTCTACTAACTAACTAACTAACTAACTAAACCACCCACCCACCCACCAACTAACTAACTAACTCATCCAGCACGTTTTACGCAGCGGATGCCCTTCCAGCCGCAACCCATCACTGGGAAACACTCATACACACTCAATTACACACATACACTACGGATATATTAGCAACCCAATTCACTTGTACCGCATGTGTTTGGACTGTGGGTAAAACCGGAGCACCCGGAGGAAACCCACGCCAACACGGGGAGAACATGCAAACAACACATAGAAATGCCAACTGGCCCAGCCTAAGCTTGAAACAGCAACTTTCTTGCTGTGAGGCGATTGTGCTACCCACTGCACCACCGCATCACGGATTAGACTATTTATTAAAGGTTAAAAGATAAAGATTTTATTGCATATATAGTTTTTATTTCTTTATACAATGATGAGCTTGTTATTTTACATTTGATTGTTCAATTTCTGTACTTGAATACTGTTAGACTCCTCAGAAAACCCTAAAGCACTGTTCATTTACTGCCTAATTACCATAACTTGCCTAATTGCATTCATTTTTTTAGTACACTGTTTTGGTGTAAACGCTGTTGTTCAATCTATTGTGTACATCTCAGAGGTAGCATTATGACATATAAACTTTAGATTTGAGGTTTTTCATGGAGCTTCAGTAGACGTGATTGGAAAATATGTCACAAACTGAATATAAATAACTACTGTTGAGCAAAAAGAAATAGGTAATTGATCTTGTGGTGTGATTTCATTACAGTGACATTTCTATTTCACACACAAATCTCTTTAAAGCAAACGTCTTTCTGTTGGTCAATGTGGGCGATTGCTTGTGAAATGTATGTTGTGAAAATGGCAGTCACGTGGATCCACCAATAAACTGTAAATCCACCACAAAAACATCAACACGAATGATCCAATCTAAATGCATCCAACATACAAAGTGTTCTCACTGGATTATTCATTTGATACATTCTGGAGTTTAATGAAGCATATTCACAGCAAACATTTCTCAAACTTTCTATTCCATCTTCATTTATTTAGTCAGCTTATTTAGCAAATCATAAGCTCTCTATCTACAAGCATTAAATATCCCTGTTTGCATTCAAAACAATTTCATATGAAGAAAAAAAAAACTAAATAGTCTAAACTGATGAAATTATATAAGATTATATAAATAATAGGAACTATTATCTCTAGAACTAATGTACTAGTTATTTTACCCGTATTCTAATATAATATAATATAATATAATATAATATAATATAATATAATATAATATAATATAATATAATATAATATAATATAATATAATAACAAAATAAAATAAAATATAATATAATATAATATAATAAATTAAAATATAAAATAAAATATAAAATAATATAATATAATAAAATATAATATATTTAAATATAATAAAATAAAATGTAAAATAACAAAATATAATATAATATAATAAAATATAATATAATTTAATATAAAATAATTTAATATAATATACTATAATATAATATAATATAATATATAATTTAGTATAATATAATATAATATAATTTAGTATAATATAATATATAATATAATATAATTTAGTATAATATAATATAAAATATAATTTAGTATAATATAATATAAAATAATATAATATAACATAACATAATAATATAACATAATATAATATAATATAATAAAATATAATAAATTAAAATATAAAATAACAAAATATAAAATAATATAATATAATAAAATATAATATATTTAAATATAATAAAATAAAATATTAAATAACAAAATAAAATATAATATAATATAATAAAATATAATATAATTTAATATAAAAGAATTTAATATAATATACTATAATATAATATAATATATAATTTAGTATAATATAATATAATATAATTTAGTATAATATAATATATAATATAATATAATTTAGTATAATATAATATATAATATAATATAATTTAGTATAATATAATATATAATATAATATAATTTAGTATAATATAATATAATATAAAATAATAAAATATAATATAATATAATATAATATAACATAACATAACATAACATAACATAACATAACATAATATAATATAAGATAACATAATATAATATAATTTAACATAATATAATGTAATGTAATGTAATATAATATATAGAACTGTAATTTCTAACCCCGACCGTTTAACAGATCACATGTCTTGACTCAATATACAAAAAAAAAAAAAAAAAAAAAAAAACAGACGCAAATAAAGATAGAAATGTGTTGGTGTGTTTGTGCGTTATTCTGTTATATGTTTGTGTGTCAGTGTGTTTGTTTGTTTGTTTGTTAGTCTCTGTGTGTTTGTGTGCAAGAATTTTTGTGTTAGTGTGTATGTCTGTGTGTATGTTAGTGTGTTATTACCTGTGTATGTGCAGAACTCTGCTGCACTGAGCGCTCAGTGTTGGTGTTTGGGTTGTTCAGACAGGAGGAGTACGGTAAATAACCCATCATCACCTCGGGACTCTTAGTAAAGCTGATGGTCTGAGTATACAGGGCCGAGTCCATCGGAGTCTGAGCGCTGGAGTCTGAAGACGCCTCGTGCACAGAGAAGATGTTGTCAGACACCGACATCTGTGGAGGAAAATGACCTATACAGTAAAAAAATGACCCATACTGTGTTCAGAATTTCAATGCTATCACTGATTATCACTAATTATTTACTTCTATAAATGTGTGTATATATGAGTATTAATATTGATCCAGTAAAGGAATAACTAGCTTGATTAGGCAAGTTAGGGGAATTGTGCAAGTAATTGTATAACAGTGGTTACAGTGAACTTACATTTCAAACTCCATATTTCTGATCAACTAAACACAAGATTGTAAATTTAACAAAGTTTACTAAACTTTAAATGTTAAGTTGATTAAACATGCACACAAGTTAATACAACTAATCGACTGTGTTAAACAAAATGTATAAAATCAGGAGTTGAAAGCTTAACTGCAACTGCTATCCTCTAACTGTGGACTTAAAAGTAGCAGCTGACAATATTTAGTGGATTAAATTAAATCCATCACGTATCCAATCATATCATTCTATTCTCCATTTACATTTAATCATTTAGCAAATACTTTATGTATGATTTATTTATTTGATTTTAATGACGAATAAAGGAGAAAAAAAAAGAACAAATAACAAGAAACTAAATAAGTTACAGTACAAAATCAGTTCAGAAACAGATGGACCAAACCTCAACCGCATATTGCACAAACAATATATGACACACATATAGTAAATGTAGCTGAAAATTCAGGCAAATAAACACAGGAGAGAATTAAAAGTTATGAACTGAAATAAATAACTAATGAAATAATGAAATGTAAAATAAAATGAAAGGGTTAGGGGCGGCAGATGGGTTTGTTCAAAGCCACTTACATACAAGGAGGCATTCTATTCTATTCGAAATGTTCTATCATTCTATTCTACTCTATAAATAATATTCTATTCTATATTGCTCTATCATTCTATTCTACAATAGTCGATCATTCTATTTTATTCTATTCTGTTCTATTCTATCATTATACTCTAATATTCAATTCCACCATTCTATTTTATTATATACAGTATGTTCTGTCATTCTATTCTACTGTTTAATTCTGTTGGATTTTATTTATTATTCTATCATTTAATTCTATAATATTCTATTCTATCATTCTATTGTATGATCTATTCTATCATTCTATTCTTTAATATTGTTTGTTCATTCCATTCTATTAAATAATATTCTATAATAATCTATTCTATCATTCCATATATTTGATTTCATCATTATAATCTACAATATTCTACTCTCTCATTATAACTTTTGTTGCTTGCTCTTTACGTTCAGCTGACTCTGGCCTTCTCTCTGTCCCTCGGAACTGCCTCTCTTCAATGGGGGGCAGATCATTTAGTGTTATTGCACCCAAACTCTGGAACTCTCCACCACGCTCACTCAGCTCTGCTAATAATATCTCTGAATTCAAATCCTTACTTAAGACTCACTTATTTTCTGAATGCTTCACTTCTGATCTGCCAAACTGACTACTTTATCTGATCCACTTCCACTCTGCTCATATGTCTCTTAGGTCTTGTTTGTGTAATTCCAGTTTGTTATATTTGACTTCATGTATGTTTGTTTATTTTTTTGTCGCATTCCTTGTAAAGTGTCATTGAGCTCTGGAAAGGCGCTATATAAATAAAAATTATTATTATTATTATTATTATATTATATATTATTCTATAATATTCTACTCTCTCATTCTATTCTATTATATATTATTCTATCATTTTATTTTATAATGGTCTATTCTATCATTCTGTTCCATATTATTGTGATTGTTCATTCTATTCTATAATATTCTATATTAATCTATTCTATCATTCTATTCTATAATATTCTATTCAATCATTCTACTCTATTATATTCTATCATTCTGTTCTGTTATGTATTATTCTATCATTCTATTCTACAACAATCTATTCTATCATTCTATTCTTTAATATTCTATTCCATCATTCTATTCTATATTATTCTATCATTATTTTCTATAATATTCTATTCCATTGATCTATTCTATAATACTCTATTCTATATTCTATTCCATCATTCTATTTTATATTATTCTATCATTCTAATCTTTAATATTGTACTCTCATTCTATTCTATAATGTTCTATTCTACCATTCTATTTTATTCTTTAATGATCTATTCTATCACTCTATTCTATAATATTGTGTTTGTTCATTCCATACTATAATAATCTAACTCTATAATATTCTATTCTATCATTCTATAATAATCTAACTCTATAATATTCTATTCTATCATTCTACAATAATCTAACTCTATAATATTCTATTCTATCATTCTACAATAATCTAACTCTATAATATTCTATTCTATCATTCTATAATAATCTAAATCTATAATATTCTATTCTATCATTCTACAATAATCTAACTCTATAATATTCTATCATTCTACAATAATCTAAATTTATAATATTCTATTCTATCATTCTACAATAATCTAACTCTATAATATTCTATTCTATCATTCTACAATAATCTAAATGTATAATATTCTATTCTATCATTCTACAATAATCTAACTCTATAATATTCTATTCTATCATTCTACAATAATCTAACTCTATAATATTCTATTCTATCATTCTACAATAATCTAACTCTATAATATTCTATTCTATCATTCTATAATAATCTAAATCTATAATATTCTATCATTCTACAATAATCTAAATTTATAATATTCTATTCTATCATTCTACAATAATCTAAATGTATAATATTCTATTCTATCATTCTATAATAATCTAACTCTATAATATTCTATTCTATCATTCTACAATAATCTAAATCTATAATATTCTATCATTCTACAATAATCTAAATTTATAATATTCTATTCTATCATTCTACAATAATCTAAATGTATAATATTCTATTCTATCATTCTATAATAATCTAAATCTATAATATTCTATCATTCTACAATAATCTAAATTTATAATATTCTATTCTATCATTCTACAATAATCTAAATGTATAATATTCTATTCTATCATTCTACAATAATCTAACTCTATAATATTCTATTCTATCATTCTATAATAATCTAAATCTATAATATTCTATCATTCTACAATAATCTAAATTTATAATATTCTATTCTATCATTCTACAATAATCTAACTCTATAATATTCTATTCTATCATTCTACAATAATCTAAATGTATAATATTCTATTCTATCATTCTATAATAATCTAACTCTATAATATTCTATTCTATCATTCTACAATAATCTAACTCTATAATATTCTATTCTATCATTCTACAATAATCTAACTCTATAATATTCTATTCTATCATTCTATAATAATCTAACTCTATAATATTCTATTCTATCATTCTATAATAATCTAAATCTATAATATTCTATCATTCTACAATAATCTAAATTTATAATATTCTATTCTATCATTCTACAATAATCTAAATGTATAATATTCTATTCTATCATTCTACAATAATCTAACTCTATAATATTCTATTCTATCATTCTACAATAATCTAAATGTATAATATTCTATTCTATCATTCTATAATAATCTAAATCTATAATATTCTATCATTCTACAATAATCTAAATTTATAATATTCTATTCTATCATTCTACAATAATCTAAATTTATAATATTCTATTCTATCATATTCTGCTCTCTTTCTATTCTATAATATCCATTCTTTAATTCTGTATTCTTTCATTGCATTCAATAATTATATTCTATCATTCTAGTGTAAATGTTACTTATACTATATTCTGTTCTGTCACTCTGAAGTTATCGATATAAACTTACTCTGACAGTTTAACATTTAACAAGACTTAGTGAATAATCTGCTGCTGCTGATGATGATGTGAGAAATGTTGAAGGGGTGTTTGTGTGAGTAATATATTCTGTGTATAAAAATAAAAGAGAAGTCTGGGCACTTACGGCTGTGTGTGGAGCTGCTGAACTCTACTCGATCTCGTCTTCTGGATTCTTCTTCTTCTTCTGAATAATCCGTTATGATGATATACACACACAGGTACTGCAGCACTCGTGACGACATCATTTCCTCTGTCACAACATCCCTCTTTCTCTTTCTCTCTCTCTCTCTCCAGTTTTCCTGTTATAAACATTTCAGACGATCTTAGATGCATCTTTGTTTCCAAAAACACCTTTTCATTAACTACCTGTAAATAACTACTCTGTTAATATATCTGTTAATGAACAGTGTCTGTATATTGCGATTCTTAAGCGGTCTGTGTTTATTTGTGGTTGTGAATTGCATTATGGGATGTTGACCTCTGCTTTGTCCACTTCTGAAGCTGTAAATTCAACTCTACAGTTTAACAAAGTGACTTTTACTGACATTTCAGTAGTTTGAGATAATATAATAATGTATAAGAAATAATAACTAGAAAAATAAGTGTTGAAAATGTGCTGCAGTTAATTACAAGGTTTCTGTAGCGTAATATACAACACCAACCTAGACAGCACTGCACACTAATACACACGAGCAGACAAGTCACTTATTTCACTTTTCACGATTAAAAGATGTTGGAAGAAAGATTAAAATCCCCCCCAAAAATGCTATTTCATGGATATATTTTTTTCATAGTGTAACTAAGTAGTTAAATAAATGAAATAATTTGTACAAATTTATCTGTTAGAATTTTAGTATCTCAAATATATAATATATACATACAGTTGAAGTCTGAATTATTAGCCCCCTTTGATTTTTTTTTTCTTTTTTAAATATTTCCTAAATGATGTTTAACAGAGCAATTAAATGTTCACAGTATGTCTGATAATATTTTTTCTTCTGGAGAAAGTCTTATTTGTTTTATTTCGCCAAAAATAACAGCAGTTTTTATTTTTTTAAATACCATTTTAAGGTCAACATTATTAGCCCCTTTAAGCTATATTTTTTCTCGATAGTCTACAGAACAAACCATCATTATACAATAACTTGCTTATTAACCTTACCTGCCAAGTTAACCTAATTAACCTGGTTAATGCTTTAAATGTCACTTTAAGCTGTATAGAAGTGTCTTGAAGAATATCTAGTCTAATATTATTTACTGTCATCATGGCAAAGAGAAAATAAATCAGTTATTAGAGATGAGTTATTAACACTATTACTAAATTGAGACTTCAACTGTGTGTGTGTGTGTGTATATATATATATATATATATATATGTGTGTGTGTGTGTGTGTGTATATAAGTTAGATGACTTCAACTGTATATATACACACACTTTTATATATATAATTAATTACTCATATAAAATTTTCTCAGAATTAGCTTTTTATTAATTTTTTTATCTTACTTATTACATAAAACATGTAATTTAAGTATATTATTATAATAGGAGTATAAATAATAGTAATCATTTATTATATTTTATTTATTATTTACTTAGTTATTTAACAAATAAATGTATAATAAATTAATGTCATAATAATAATAATGTAAAATAAATATGCATATTACATTTCATGAGTTTAAATATACTCATATTTATTATTTAATACTATATTAAATCTAATTTTAAATGATTATTATCATTATTATTCATCCATTCATTTTTATTTCGGCTTAGTCTCTTTATTAATCTGGAGCAATACTATGCAATTTACATTTACTTTATTTAAAATAAACAAGAAACATAAATAAATTAAGAAGACATTCGCATTTATAAACAAAAATCCACGTTTTACACAAAAATCCCCATTGTGTGTGCTTTTTAAAGATACTACATGGACCAACGTGTACATATCATGTTTACATTCTTGTTGTACACTCTTAAAGGTGTGTAAACTCCAGCAATTTTCTTCATGTTATTGTTATTTACTCATATGGGCATGCTTTTACTCATATACCTGGTAAATGTCAGTAGCAGAGCTCAGCAGCGCCTCCTGCAGAAACAACACAAGAATACATCCATTAAGACTACAAACAAATACAGACCACTTTTCTAATTTTGAACTAGATATAATTTCTAAAATTAATCAAATGGTGAGCATCATTCACTAGCTTAAAAACAAATAAATACACCATTTAATCTGGAATAATCTGAATGGAGCTGTAAAAAACTGAATTCAATCACATTGAAATAGATGTACATAATGCAATTTAAAATAACACACACACACTCACCTGTAGCTCCGTCTGCATATGAGATCAATAGCTGAGGTGTAAAGACAATTTCATTTAGACTAAAATCTAAAATCTTATCTGACACTAGGATCATTTTCTGACATCCAAAATACTCACCAATCATCATCTGAAATCTTTATTCTTCACCACTATCATTTAAAACAACACATTTAACACATTTGACAGCAGGAATTGAACAGAATCACATTTAATATGAATAATTATTTGATATGTTTTAATAAGTACAGCTCAGAATACACCGGGTTTCTTCTGCATACATGAGTAGATTGAACTTTATTTCACTCATATTTTGAAACTTCATTTTTAAATTATTTTATAATAATTAATATTTTTTAGATTATATCTTATTTTATTTTATAAAAAATGTGTAGCATCAAACACTTTGCTTGTGTTTTATGCTTTCGATAGCTTTATAATCACTTTTATAAATGCAATTTCATGCAGACATCAATATAGGACGTCTGATTTTTGATGTTATTAAATAGTACTTAAATATAGAGGAATCCTGATGTATTAAAGCTAGATTCAGATGTTAAAATACACAGAAATTTTGTGCATTATTTTGGCTGCACTTACACATTTCTCTACGTTCACCTGTATATTTGCAGTGTATTTGATTGAACTGATATACAGTCAGATCAGCACACTCATTTTTTTGGGCTTAGTCCCTTTATAAATCAGGAGTCGCCACAGCGGAATGAACCACCAACTATTCCAGCATATGTTTTGCACAGCGGATGACCTTCCAGCCGCAACCCAGTACTGGGAAACACCCATACAAAATCATTCTCAGACTCATACACTATGACCAATTTAGTTAATTCGCCAATAGTGCATTTGCCAACATAGGGAGAACATACAAACTCCACACAAACACCAACTGACCCAGCCGGGACTCGAACCAGCAACCTTCTTCCCTAACTTGTCCTTAGTGTATGTGTGTGAATGAGTGTGTATGGATGTTTCCCAGTGAGGAGTTGTAGCTGGAAGGGCATCCGCTGTG